TTGTAATGTAATAATATTATATATTAATATTATACTATATTACACACGTTTTAACCTACATAATATAGCCTGATATTTAGAGTGTACTGAAACGTGAAATGTTTGGACAAATTATTATTGTTGTTAGATTTAATCTGTATAAAATATTATACAATGTGTCCCGGAGGAAGTGACCGGCCGATATCCTATGGATATTATGATACAAGTTAAGTTGTGGAAAACGACCATTTGAATGAGGTCTCGATCTMTTTTATTTTTTTAGTCACCTAACTATCAGAAAATTGACTTCTTTGACGAAACTGAACTTACCGCACATTTGCTGATGCTTCCTCTGCAGAAGTTTTCAACTTTTTATAACATTTTTTTAAGCTGTTTTAGTGTGCTATCAACTAACGTAAAAACATTCAGTCAGAAATATACAAACTATTTATATCAAACTAAAAAAAAAAATTAATATTTTTAAAGTATTTGAGTCTTAAAAAACAAAAGAGCTGTCTTCCCTTTTAAAAGATTTTTTCTATAACTTAAGGTAGACTATCAAATTATTTCGATGCCGGCCAGTCACTTCCCCCTGGGACACATTGTATTATAATAACGCGCGGCACAGTTATCTCGTGAGTGTTATCGAAAGTGATTTTTCTCTCTCTTTGAACGGCGTTCTGCGAATAAATTGGCGATGGGTATTCCCGAGAAAGAAACCCGTCGCTCTTGCGTCGTATATTCAGCCCACAATATTCTATTTTGTGAATAAATAAATCTTAAGAGACGCGTATTATAAAAAAGAGTGTAATGTACAATATGCCGGAACATTACGTACCCGGACCTACCACGCTGGTAATCTCGTGGCACACGCGCACACGCACACCGCACTAGGTTCGATTGGAGGAGTTAGACAAAATAAAAATTAATATCTTTTCCCCCGGCCGATCTTGCACATAACATAATACTTTAACATCTGCGAAATGCATATTACAACCGTCGTACATGTTATTATATTATATGAACTAAACTAACGAGAATAACGACTACAATTGAAGACCTAGTTGGATATAGTGGCGTTGAAAAAAAAAAAAAATCCCCCAAAAACAGTCTCGTGTATTGTGCAATGCCGTTCCTCGAAAATATAGAAAAAAAATAATAATCAATACAATATAATAGTTGTTATTAACACGTTGATTAGAATAATATAAATTCAATCAATATTTCAGCAGAGTTTAAAGTGTATACTTACAGTATTAATAAGAATACTAATTATATTTATACTCATTRTGATAAAAATTTTAAATATTTCGGTTTTATATTTCAAGGCCGTATATAATATCTTCACAAGAAACATTGTTCTAAATTGACCTATAAAATAAAATTTAAGTTAATACCAAGTGTTTAAAATAATATTGAACAAGTTGCATGAAAAACATACCTATTACGGCGATTTCTTTTCTGTCTTTATTAAATAATAATCCAATTGGCTTTTAAAATATGACCTTTCACCATCAGAGTGTAATAGGTAAGTGTATCATTAACACGCRTGATCCCAACTTTTTGACAACATTTTTGTTCTTATAATATGGAAACGATTTAAACTCGACACATAATTCTAATGAGATATTTTAACAACGTTAATAACTGAGGTTTTGTCACGAAAAGTATCGCATACGTGATATAGAACGCGCAATATTATAATACGYATTCAGAGATTATTTGACGCGAACCAATCGCAGTTCTGTGACGCTGAAATCTATGAAACGTTATAGATATGMCCGTATGGGTATGGTGGAGGTCAAAACACAACGAAAAGTTTTATAATTTCTTATATTATAACTATCATTATTGTTACGATACGATTTTCGTCATAACACGTTTTTAATTTTGTTTCGTAGGTGCACATTACCAAATAATAATAATAATATCAAACGCGTTGTTTTTCGATGAAATTCGAAAATATGATTTTATTTCGTCGGAATCGCTTTTGAGCAATATAATATATCGTCGTATAACACAATAATATGATACCTATAATATACCATAATACCTATTATAGCTAGGTGGTGGTCTTTGCACAACTATAATAGTGGTCTTTGTTTCGAGAAACAGCGGTGAAAAAGCATACTGCGCGTTCCGTTTCGACATTTTGAAATAACAAAAAAATATATATCACAATTATAATAATTATAATAATACGTTTCTGGATATTTTGGTGAAAAATAAAACGAGCATAAGCGCAATACCAAATCATATTGTATACCTATAATAAAAATAATAATAATAGAATAATAGAACGTCGTTGCCAGCTGTCGAATGCACATAATATAAATTATAATAATATATTATCCGTAGGTATAACAAACGTGGTGAACTTGCGGTCATAGTTGACTACCATGAATAGGTATCGTAGGTATATACACTCCAGATAAGTACCTACATATATCTAGTCAATTGGTTCTGCAGTTTATCTCAAACGCGTCTGACCTGCGAGCGAAACGCCCACGCGCTGAGACTACGACGCGTACCTACTGCTACCGCGTTTGATGTGTCCCCGTGGCATACCTGCATATGGGTAACGTGCAACAAGCACCTGCGGTATAAATAACATAATGCACTGGTACGGGTACACGGTCGATCACGTTTTTGAAAATTTAGAAATATTCCGAATTTCAACAGCACGCGCAATGTAGGTACCTACTCGTAAAAGTCGTGACCCGCGAGCACTCGATATCGGAACGTAGTTCAGCAATGTTTTTGGGGTTTTATTTTTTATAAATCATAATATGCCTGTATTTCATTAATTTTTATTTTTGAATGTGAACAAGCGCACAAACTTTTTTTTTTTAACACATTCAGTATTATGCGAGTTTTAATCATATTCTCGTCGATTTCATATAAGTACCTAATTTTTTTTTTGTGGTTACTTTATATAATTTATATTATATTTAACGAGTTTCAAATAATTTATTTTTATTATATTATGTACAATAGATACCTACACATAGCTGATGATAATTACGATATTGTAAGAGTTCAACAAATTCGGTTTATGTTATGTATCTATGCTAGTAYTATCTAATTTTTAAAATACGAGTACAATAAATTATATCTAATCCGAAAAATCTAGATTATTTTTCAATAATTTCGATTAATTGTAAATTTCACGTGATGGGTATTCATATCGATATAATTGATACTAATAAATTATATCATGCGTCTTAATAAACTAAGTACGTGGTTATTTTGATAGGTAATCACTACCTAATCAATATAACATTATGMCAATTTACAATTTAGAAAGTCACTAAAATATACCAATAATTAATAAAGCAATTAATATTACGACGACACGATAATAAATTAATTGCCTACGATTTAATAGGCTTGTACTTTTAATTTCAATTGAATTAGCGCGTGAACATATATTTAAATTAGAACGAACATTATAATAGTATCGTGCAAGATATATTCAGAATACGTTTTATAATATTTTTACTATTTTTTCATTGCCGAATGGTATTCAAACCATCGTTTTATTACATCGCTAGACCATAGACGAATGACATAATATATATATATATATTTACAACATTTTAATATTTTATTCAACTACTGTCGCTGGGATTCGTCAAATAGTTGAGATTATTTCTCTTCTTTCAGAATTGCTTTTTTTTTTTTTAAATCATTGAGTTATTCGTTTTATTTATAATATACAATTATATAACATCTAGTCGTACTTATTTTCCAAAAATAATAAATGCCATTCATATATCGGTATTTACATTTTTACAAATTTATTTCATTGCATAATATTGTTGGATTGAATGCAGAACAAAATGCGTGGACCAMATATTTAATAGACAGGGGAAACGATAAAAAACACTCAGTATATAGTACAAATTATATAAGTATTCAAAAAAATAATCGTAATTTTTTATTTTTTTTCCCATTAGACTTTAAATAGTTAAAAATAATTTAAATAATTCATATGGCCAATGTAAAAATAATATATTTTATAGGTGATTAATATTGTAAGATCAGGTTAATATTACACAGCTTAATTATGCCGGACATATACTATTAATGTACTAGAATCGACGAACAATAAAATATCATATAAATTATAGCTATATAATGTATAATACCTGCGTATAATATAGGTGTTATATAATAATTGATTTTAATCGGAATTTCATAATTATTCGTATGGGTACCTATTTCTCCGTTTCGTTTAGATCATTAAAACGATTCCAATAGACAACTGCTGCAGCTATTTCAAACAAATAAGAACATAAAAGTAAAAAAAAAGTTATAATTTAAACACGCGAGTGCGACGTGACATTTTGAAATCGTATCGATCGTTATACAAGTCGTAGTGACTAGTGYCTATCTTTCGAATACAAGTATTATTATAGTACAATAAAGCCGTCGATAAAATGCAATGAATATCCGAGAGCAAACATATCACAAATTCACAACTACCTCTCGGGGTGATAAAAATATGAGAAGCACTGTGGATTAAAAATCGATAGTARGACGGTAAGTTTCAGTGACAATATTATAATATGATACGAATATTTTGTTATTTGAATTACAACTAAGCATAATAATCGTGATCGACGACACGCGCAGAAGGACGACCCAGCAAACGCGGGGACCCCAAGTATTTGTCAACATTCGTTTCCTGGTGGAATGCGTTACTCGTGAAAAACAAAAAAATGTGTACAATTTATAATTATTATGATAATGATATTATTATTATGATATTTAAATGTAATAAATGCATCATCGGCGGTGGCGGTCGTCGTTGCGTAATTGCGTAATGTCGTGCACGGACCTCGGCACAGAACCGGCCGGCGGTCTATAGAAAGTAGGTCTGACGAGGCGGCGGCTTCGTGTCCTCTTCACCGCCTACCCTCGATCGGCGGATTCGCGCCGCGAACCGTCTCGGGGTAGGGGCGACCAGGACCACTTCCTTTTTCGGGCGACGGACACTACAAAACCAGCGGGTCCTGGTGATCAATGGTCAGTCGTCGGTCACCACTGTTCAACAAACTATCACACTTGCAACAACCAAAGCAGCTGAAACAGATCGCAATCGCACGAAACGGCTGATAATAATAATATTATCACATCGTCCGCCACCTGTTAGCACGATGAAGGGTTTGTTGTACGCGGTTTGCGCGCTCGGTTTGTGCGCTCACGCGTTCGCCGGCGAAGAAGCAAAGAAGGCAGAGGAACCTAAGGCAGCGGTGGCTGCAGACTCCAGCAAGGGCAAGAGGCATCTCTCGTCATTCGGTTACGGCGGTTATGAATTGGACGGCGGTTACGAATCATACGGCAGCGCCGGTTACGGAARCGCCGCTTACGGTTACGCCGCTCATGACATCGGTTACCACGGTCACGGTCAATTGTTGTCCAAGACCATCGTCAAGGAAGTYGGACACCCATACCCCGTGCCCGTCGAGAAACACGTGCCATACCCCGTCAAGGTAGCAGTGCCCGTTGACCGCCCGTACCCAGTCCATGTACCGCGCCCATACGCCGTGCACGTCGAGAAACCCGTGCCATACGCAGTCAAAGTGCCCGTGCCACAGCCGTACGCCGTCTACAAGGAGGTACCRTACCCAGTCAAGGTGCCAGTCGACAGGCCATACACCGTCCATGTGCCAAAGCCGTACCAAGTGGTCGTCGAGAAGCACGTTCCATACCCAGTAGAGAAGCACGTCCCATACCCARTCAAGGTTCCAGTTGACCGCCCATACCCAGTCCACGTACCCGTCGAGAAGCACGTCCCGTACCCAGTCGAGAAGCACGTCCCATACCCAGTCCACGTACCCGTCGACCGCCCGTACCCAGTGACAGTCGAGAAGCACGTCCCATACCCAGTCGACAAGCCCGTCCCATACCCAGTCGAAAAGCACGTACCATACCCAGTCAAGGTGCCCGTCAAGGTCGAAGTGCCAGTACCATACGAAGTTCCAAGCCACGATGAATACCACGGTAGCAACGCATACGAAAGCAGCTCATATGGAAACTCTTACGGACCATCATACAGCAGCTCTTCATACAGTAACTCTTACGGACCATCATCCTACAGCAGTGCCTCTTACGGACCATCTCACGGATCGTCATCCTACGGATCGTCTCACGGCAGCTCGTACTGATTTCAAAAGCTCCAGTCATAATATATTTTGTAGGTTAGGTTACCATGTTACGCCACGTTCGCGACCAAAGCCATTCGCGACTGTCGGTGACAGCACCACAAACGAAACAATCAAAATCTAGGTATATTTTTTTTAGTTAAGTGACATCACGATCAATATCCTACCATCAGTATAGTAGTATAAAATATATACAWCAACATTATGCCATTATTTGTCTGTTAACATAATAGATCTCAAAGTACAGAGTTGTGTATCAACTTTTTGGGTCGTTGCAATATAATATTATGTTTTTGACTGCAAGCGTTCAATTTTAATATGTGTTTTTTTTACGAATTTCATTGTATAAATAGTTTTTAAAATATGTATTTCAACATCAAGCACAACATATTATACAAAAATATTATATATTATTCATATATATATATATATATATATATATATTATATTGTGAAGCATTCGAAATAAATTGTTTTCGTGTACTTTATATTACCTATGTTTGATTATTTTATACATTATCCTATTTGAGTCCATGTATGTATTCAAAGTCAAAAAAATAKTCAACGTTGATCATGAAAAAATATGATTCTCTTTGAATTTTTTTTTCTCTTAAAAATCAATCAACTGTGTGTAAAATGGTTATTTAACGAATAGCAGTCTGCCTGTAATAAAATACAATAGTTAAGCTCTGCTCGTAAAATAAAAATTATGATAAATCATAACAAACGCGTGATTAATATTCTAGTTGGTAAATTATAATTTATTAATTATTTAAAAACATATATTATGTTATTATAATTACTTAAATGACAACATTTACTACAGAAACAATAAATTTTACTATAAACTTAAAATGTATCTAAAAAATCCACTGCAGTCTTGTGGTATTTAATATACATTATATTATATACAGAACCGTACTATATTAAAAACACACTCTTAAAATTATAAATAATATCAAAGGTTTCCATTAAAGTTTCACAAGTAGACATCGGCATTGGTAGATTTGCATAAGGATTAGTAGTCAAATCCGTCATAAAATACTTTGTGTRCCGTAGGATGCCGCAGCGAACTTTCTGCGAAACTTTTGTTACGTAAACCAAATGTTGTTGTACAACACTATACTATATACAGTGTAACGTTTTTGAAAACTTTGCAAGAGTGTTAGGTACGCGATAAATTTCTAATGAACCGAATAAACCGAGTGTACTTTGAATACATCAAATCACTTCAAAATAATAATATATGCGTGTTGTTCGAGGATAAGTGTTTTGTGCTTAAGGATAGTTTCGTCATCGTTATAATATTATTATTATTATTTTTATCGTCACTGCGCTGTTGTCAGGAAAACGAAGGCGGCGAGGTTCCAAATTCGAACACGTGTCCCAACGATAGGAGGCATAATGCGTTGGTATATAACATAATAATATTATATAATGATGAATAAAAAAAAAATCCTGCCTACCATAATAGTTATAGTACCTATGTTATATGTTTCGGCGGAGATTTAACCCTTTTCGCAGCAGCAGACTACCACGCTGCACCGTTTAGTGTGTACCAAAACAAAAACTTCTCGTGAACAAAGAATATACTGCACATAGTCCTGCTGATGTAAAAAACGGGCACCTGCCGATGGGTAGCACCTAATACCCATTTAAATACACAGGTAATCATTGTAATCATAACAATAATAATGGTACGCCCCACGTCGTCCGAAGGTCTCTCGCACTGAACACCGTTTTTTTTCTTTCACGAGCGAAAACAACAAATTGATCCGACGACGGGAATCATTAATTTTTAATAATATAGTGATTTTTTCTTTTTTAATAACGTAATACACGTTTACCAATGCCTATACCTTATACAGTACACATAGTATGTGCACAGAGTAATGAAGTACCTACACACACACACACACACACACATATATATAATATACATATATATTATGTATTTATTTGTGTGTGTATAGATAATGATTATATAGTGCAGAGCGTTTGAATTCGATTCGCCTGTCGTAAAACGAACGGACGAACGGAGCTCGCTTAAAATGTGAACAATCTAAAACACGCGATTCTAATCTCAAACATCGTTACGCGGCTCGTCGATGGAAAAAATAAAATACCGAGAAATAATAAAAAATAGAAGAAATACATAAATCACTTACGCGCCGAACGATTCGGTCGTTTTCGAGTAATTTGACCGGTGCGACCTTGTCCTAGATGGCTGGCCGGGTTTGCGGTCGACCGCGATTTTTCGTTCAATCTACGTAATACCCGACTGACATAAAATATTCGAAAGAGGAGAGCGCGTAGGTATACATTATACTACATATTATTACTACACTATAACAGCTGATGGGTAAATCGGATGGCATTCGAGCGTGGGATTCAAAGTGTTTCTATTTCTGTATGAATAATGATTTCGTGTATGACGATAAAGTTRTACCCTGTTCGTTTGCGCTGACGGATATCGAGTGGCGGTGGTATTCGATGGACGGTTAACAACTGACGTATAATGTCCGATTTAATATTACTAGACGTATTAGATCGAATCATGATTTCGCTTAAAAAAAAAAAACAATATACTTTTCGTCTAATTTACATACATTATCTAGTCATCTAGTCCCAATATAGAGCCTTTGTATATGCCCTTTTTTCCAACCAAAATAATTGTTCAATTATATTTTTTAATTCATTACAGGTTACAATTTCGGACAATTGTGCATGTCCAATATMCATTATAATTTATAAGATAAATTAATCGTATTCATAATTAATCGTAAATAGTCAACTTTCTCAATTTGAATCAATTGTTTTTTAAAAATTAGCACTTTATTATTTATCGAAATTATACACATATATTAAGCTGATTTTATTGACCCGCGTATTTCTATGCAATTTCAATTGACAAGATGATAGAATAACTCTTAATTAAATTCTGCATGACGGTTAATTTTATTTTTTTTACGAATGTTTATAATTTTTTAGTAGTAGCCCAACTCTTCAACTCTATACTTGAATYACCTAGCATTATTGTACCTGTAACTAAAATATACATGTATTTTCTTCTGTTGGAGGTCTAAAGTAATTTAAAAAAAAAAGAAATTGGACTTTAATTCACTTTGTGTATAAATATATATTGGAATTAGTTGTTTGAGAAAGATTTTAACACGTTTTTGTATGAAACTGTGTTTGATGAGTTTTGATGTATACTAAGAAGGGTGCAAATGTTTTTAAAAAATCAGCTCAATGAACGTATGTAGATGCAATAGTTAAATGTTAATATTTTTAATGCATAAAAGAAATAAGATACATAATCAAAATAACAATAAAACATAGACATATATATATATATATATATTTTTTTTTTAAATAATTTATCCTGCATGGAAAATGTTTACATCAAATGTTAGAGAACTTGAAAAAATGGCAATGAGCACTTTTCCTATAGTTCTATAATATAGCTGTTTCATTCACCCTAAAATTTATACGCCACTGGAAAGAGTGGAGGCAAAACAGTTTTAATATAACGAGCGATAGAGCACAGTGGAAGTTGACATGGCGTCAAAAAGCTGTCTCACCCCAAATTTATATTATATACAAGTATAGACGGCAACACTGTCGCTAGAATATCGCCCTAATATTCTTGTCTCTCCTCGCTGCACTTTCTTGAATCATATTTTTTATTATTATTACTATTATTTTTTTTTTACACTCGACCGTACACCGAGAGAGTCGTTAAGCCGATTACATTTTTTCGGTTCGTTCGTTTCGTTATTTGTAATGGTCTCGCGCACGGTGACAATGAGAACAAAAATCAAATCTGCCATGTGCGCCGACATTTGTTTTGGGGAGAGAATTGACACTCTTGAAGCACTATAATATAGTTTACTTATAATAGTATTAAYGAAGCTGTGTTATACCGTGTTTATACACATTTTCTCGATCGTTTTAATGTCAAAACAGGCGAAACTATAGCGATTGTATTGCAGCGATGTGATCACACGTCCTCGGTGTACGGCGAGCGATAGTAAAACGATCTCAAAGTTATTGACTTATAAATTTTATGACTAATTAATAATATGATATTATTACTACGATGCAGTTAATAAAACGTAAAATAATATTATATTATACTTTGTACTTGACATCTTTACCCGAAACTGGGAAACCATCGACGGTCGTTTGCCGCGTCAATTTCCGATACAGATCGAAACACGATCATTGTGCAGTATAATATATTATAGTGGTTACTTACGACATTATAATATATATACATATATATGTGTGTGTGTGTGTGTGTGTGTGTGTGTGTGTGTGTATTAAAAACTAAAACACTTCCGACAGCAATGTATTTATTATAACTTAGGAGTGCACTATATAAAACCAATATTATACATATATATCATAATTTGTTTCTGCATATATAGTTTACTACTACTACTACTTCATGTATAATACATATATTTACTCTAGGACGTCGACTTTCAAACGCATCGCGATATATATTTGCATTATTATTCTATATTTAGATACTAGCTTTTAACACWGCGATTAACGATACTATAATATACACGTTGTAGCGACGGTCTTGGCTAATTTACATAGGTTGACAAAAATGGCATTATAATTTATGGGCATAGCCGTAATTCATGGGTTTCGAAGTCGACGGTTGGTGGTGACTATGGTGAGGTTGGATGAATGAGATCGCATACGAAAATCTTCGAATAACGGTCATCGAGAAAACCAATATAGTAGGTAGTATAATATAACATAACACAGGTACTTGCTCGCTCTATTACTATATCTAATGAAAATCGGTGAAGTGATTGTATTATAAATTAAGAATTAAAATGTATTTGTGTGATAAAATATATTTTAATGACACCATATTTTTCTGATTTTGAAATAATATTAATAATATGTTAAATGTTGAAACGATATTATGCTACACACACGATGAGTAACGCCCGACCGTATTAGACTCATGATTT